GAGCTCAAACAACATCTATAGCAGGAAAATGCAATGTACACATTAATGCAGTATTCATCCAAAAGCATCAGATATAATAGTACAACATCTTACTGCACTATCACTGCTTTAAGGACATTTTACTTTTACTTTTAGTACATTTTAGAATGGCAAACTTTTACTTGAATGAATATTTTCTCAGTGAAATCAGAATCAGAATCAGAATTTGAAATACTTAAATAATCCCAGGGGGGAAATTATTTTTGTTACAAACTCCAGATATACATACAACATATATTAAGAACAAAATATTTTTTTTACTTCCCTCTCACCCTCTTGGGGTGGTATCTGTGTCATCCTCAAGCTCGGGTCCTCTACCAGAGGCCTGGGAGTTTGAGGGTTCTGCACAGTATTTTAGCTGTTCCTAGGACTGCGCTCTTCTGGACTGAGGCTTCTGATGTTGTTCCTGGGATCTGTTGGAGCCACTCCCCCAGTTTGGGGGTCACTGCCCCGAGTGCTCCTACTACCACGGGGATCACGCTCGCCTTGGCCTTCCACATCTGCTCCAGCTGTTCTTTCAACCCTTGGTATTTTTCAACCTTTTCATGTTCCTTCTTTCTGATGTTGGCGTCTGCTGGTATGGCCACATCTATCAATTCAATTCAATTCAATTTTATTTGTATAGCGCCAATTCATAACAGAAGTTATCTCAGGACACTTTTCAAATAGAGCAGGTCTAGACCGAACTCTTTATAACATTATTTACAGAGACCCAACAGTACCACCATGAGCAAGACCTTGGAGACAAGGGCAAGGAAAAACTGCCTGTTAAAAGGCAGAAACCTAGGACAGATCCAGGCTCTAGGTGGGTGGTCGTCTGTCTCGACCAGTTGGGGTGAGAGAGAGAGAGAGAGAGAGAGAGACAGACAGACAGCCAGACAGGTGCACAGCAACAACAGTATTGGCAATGGCAATCTAGCAATGGCAATCTATCACCACCGCTTTCTTCTGCTCCTTGTCTACCACCACTATGTCCGGTTGGTTGGCCAGGACCTGTTTGTCAGTCTGGAAGCTGAAGTCCCACAGCACCTTGGCCCTGTTGTTCTCAGCCACCTTCTGTGGTGCGGCCCATTGGGATTTGGGTACCTCTATTCCATACTGGCTACAGATGTACACTATTCCAGCCACTTGGTTGTGTCTCTCCATGTACGCTGAACCGGCTAGCATCTTACACCCTGCTACGATGTGCTGGACTGTCTCAGGGGCATCTTTGCATAGTCTGCACCTTGGGTCAGATCTACTCTTGTAGATCTTGGCCTCTATGGCTCTTGTACCTAGGGCCTGTTCTTGTGCTGCCATGATCAGTGCCTCTGTGCTGTCTCTGAGTCCAGCCTTTTCCAGCCATTGGTAGGTCTTCTCCATATCAGCCACTTCTTCAATTTGGCGGTGGTACATGCCATGTAGGGGCTTGTCCCTCCAGGTTGTCTGCTCTTCTTACTCCGCACTCTTATCAGGTTTCTGTTGCCTGAGACATTCACTTAGCAGTTCATCCTTTGTGGCCATTTTTCTGATGTACTCTTGGATTTTTGATGTTTCATCCTGGATAGTGGCCTTGATGCTCACTAGTCCTCAGCCTCCTTCTTTCCACTTAGCGTACAGTCTCAGGGCACTGGATTTGGGGTGAAACCCTCCGTGTATGGTGAGGAGCTTTCTTGTCTTGATATCTGTGGCTTCTATCTCCTCCTTTTGCCAGCTTATGATCCCAGCAGGGTATCTGATGACTGGTAGTGCTTACATGTTAATGGCTTGGATCTTGTTCCTGCCATTCAGCTGACTTTTCAGGACATGCCTTACTCTCTGGAGGTATTTGGTTGTGGTTGACTTCCTTGCGGCTTCGTCATGGTTTCCATTAACCTGTGGGATACCAAGGTACTTGTAGCTGTCTTGGATATCACCTATGTTGCCCTCTGGTAGGTCAACCCCTTCAGTTCTGATCATCTTGCCTCTCTTTGAGACCATCCAGCCGCACTTGTCCAATCCGAATGACATCCCTATGTCGTTGCTGTAGATCCTGGTGGTGTGGATCAGTGAGTCAATTTCTCGCTCATTCCTGGCATACAGCTTGATGTCTTCCATGTAGAGCAGGTGGCTAATTGTTGCTCCACTTCGGAATTGGTACCACTCTTTGTGATGATCTGACTGAGGGGGTTCAGGCCTATGCAGAACAGCAGGGGTGATAGCACATCTCCTTGGTATATGCCACATTTGATTTTGACTTTGAGAGCATTTGATGCCCCGCAAGACGTGCTACGGTAAGCGTACTGACTCACTTCCGGTTTACTTCCTGCTCTGTGTACACTGTTTGGTGCTGTAGCTCTGTCAGTGAACGCTAAATATACATTTGTTTTACTCGTTACAGCGGTTATTTTTCCGCTTAACATTTAAACGTAGACTAGTTCTACTTAAACACTTGGAGTTTCTCCTTCTTTTAGGGACTTTTCACTACTTTCAAAGTTTTTCATACACTCTAGTTTCATTAGCATTAGCAGTTAGCTATGGCTTCTCCCTCTCCCTCTCCTCTGCCCTGCTCAGTGTGTCAGATGTTCAGTTATTCCTCTGCCTCCTTTAAAGATAATGGTACCTGTATTAAATGTAGTTTGTTTACTGCGCTGGAGGCGAGGCTTAGTGAGAGTGAGTTAGAGGAACGGCACCGCACCACGGAGATATATTTAGCCGCTATAGTTAGCCAGCCCCCGGTAGCCGGTGCGGTCCGACCAAAGGTAGCTTTTGTTAGCTCTGTAGATCCCCCGGTAGTTCCCGAGCAGCCGGGAAGACAGGGAGGCTGGGTGACTGAGCGAAGGAAGGCTAGAACGGCGAAGCCCACAGGTCACCACCAGCCGCTTCACGTTTCTAATACATTTTCCCCACTCAGCGACACACCCGCTGAGGAACCAACTCTGATAATTGGCAGCTCCATAGTCAGAAACGTGAAGTTAGCGAAGCCAGCGGCCATAGTTAAATGTATCCCTGGGGCCAGAGCGGGCGACATTGAATCAAATTTAAAACTGCTGGCTAAAGGTAAACGTAAATACAGTAAGATTGTTATCCACGTCGGCGGTAATGACACCCGTTTACGCCAATCGGAGGTCACTAAGATTAATGTGGAGTCGGTGTGTAACTATGCTAAGACAATGTCGGACACCGTAGTTTTCTCTGGACCCCTCCCCAATGTGACCAGTGATGACATGTATAGCCGCATGTCGTCATTCCACCGCTGGCTGTCGAGGTGGTGTCCAGCAAACGATGTGGGCTTCATTGATAACTGGAAGCCTTTTTGGGGAAAACCTGGTCTGATTAGGAGAGACGGCATCCATCCCACTTTGGATGGAGCGGCTCTCTTATCTAGAAATATGGCGAAGTTTATCTCTAAAACCTGACAGTCCAGAGTTAGGACCAGGAAGCAGAGCTGCTGTCTTACACACTTCTCTGCGCTTTCTTTAGAACAGTCACCCACCCAAAACCCCATAGAGACTGTGTCTGTCCCCCGACCACCTAAACTATTTAAAGAAATAAAAACAAGAGGAGTTCAACATAAAAATCTAATAAAAATTAAAACCAACTCCTCAGTATCACAAAATAAGAGAATGAAATGTGGGCTGTTAAATATCAGGTCTCTGTCCTCTAAAGCTGTTTTAGTGAATGAATTAATATCAGATTATGATATTGATTTACTTTGTCTTACTATGACCTGGTTGTCCCACGAGGAGTATGTTAGCCTAAATGAATCCACCCCCCCCAGTCATATTAATACTCACATTCCTCGAGGCACTGGCCGAGGAGGTGGAGTAGTAGCCATATATGATTCGAGCGTTTTAATGGACCCTAAACCTAAACTAAATTATAATTCATTTGAAAGCCTTGTTCTTAGTCTTTCTCACCCAAACTGGAAAACACTGCAGCCAGTTCTATTTGTTATAGTGTACCGTGCTCCTGGACCGTACTCTGATTTTATATCTGAATTTTCAGAGTTTCTATCAAGCTTAGTCCTTAAATCAGATAAAGTAATTATTGTAGGTGATTTTAATATTCATGTGGATGTTGACAATGACAGCCTTAGTAATGCATTTATATCATTAATAGACTCAATTGGCTTCTGTCAGAGTGTAAATAAACCAACTCATTGTTTTAATCACACTCTTGACCTTGTTTTATCATATGGCATTGATATTGAACATTTAATAGTCTTCCCACATAATCCTTTCCTATCTGACCATTATTTAGTAACTTTTGAATTCATACTATTAGATTATAAGCCATTAGGCAAAACTTCCTACAGCAGATGTCTATCTGACAGTGCTGTAGCTAAATTTAAGGAGGGGATTCCTTCAGTGTTTAATTCAATGCCATGTCTGAATTTAACAGAGTCCTATAATGACTTTAGTCCCTCTGAAATTGATAATCTTGTCGATAGTGCTACAGGCTCACTACGATCAACATTAGACTCTATCGCTCCTATAAAAAGGAAATTATTAAAACATAGGAGACTAGCACCTTGGTATAACCACCAAACCCGCCAGTTAAAACAAATAGCTAGAAAATCTGAAAGGAAATGGCGCTCTTCCAAATTATCAGAATATCGCTCAAATTGGCAAGATGATCTTAAGATTTATAGAAAGGCCCTCCGTAATGCCAGAGGAGCCTATTACTCAGCACTAATTGAAGAAAATAAGAACAACCCTAGGTTCCTCTTCAGCACTGTAGCCAGGCTGACAGAGAGTCACAGCTCTATCGAGCCACATATCCCCATAAACTTAAGTAGCAATGACTTCATGAGCTTCTTCTATAATAAAATTATTACTATTAGAGAAAAAAATGAATCACCAACTGCCATCAACAGTTATCAGTGGCTCTCCAAGTTCAGGGACTTCTGTCAATGTAAACTTAGATATATATTTAGACTGTTTTTCTGCTATCGATCATCATCAGTTAACTTCAATCATTTCTTCATCGAAGCCATCAACCTGTCTATTAGACCCGATCCCAACTAGGCTGCTTAAAGAAGTTGTTCCCTTAATTGGCACTTCTTTACTGGATATGATTAATCTTTCTTTATTATCAGGATATGTACCACAGTCCTTTAAAGTAGCTGTAATTAAACCCCTTCTTAAAAAGTCCACTCTTGACCCAGGGGTTTTAGCCAACTATAGACCGATTTCTAACCTCCCCTTCCTCTCTAAGATTCTGGAGAAAGTAGTCGCCAAAGAGTTGTGTGACTTTCTACATAACAATAGTTTATTTGAGGATTTTCAGTCAGGATTTAGAGTTCATCATAGCACAGAGACAGCTCTGGTTAAAGTTAATAATGACCTTCTGACTGCTTCTGACAATGGACTTGTCTCTGTACTTGTATTATTAGATCTTAGTGCTGCATTTGACACCATTGACCATGATATTCTTTTACAGAGACTTGAGCATCAAATTGGCATTAAAGGAACTGCCCTAACCTGGTTTAAGTCATACTTATCAGATCGTTCTCAGTTTGTACATGTTAACGATGAATCCTCCATAAATACTAAAGTTAGTCATGGAGTTCCACAAGGTTCTGTACTTGGACCAATACTATTTACTTTATATATGCTCCCTTTAGGCAACATTATTAGGAATCACTCCATTAACTTTCACTGTTATGCAGATGATACGCAGTTATATCTATCAATCAAACCCAATGAAATTAATCAATTATCTAAATTACAAACATGTCTTAAGGACATAAAATCCTGGATGACCTGCAATTTTCTGATGTTAAACTCAGAAAAAACCGAAATTCTTGTTCTTGGCCCCAAAAACCTTAGAGACTCATTGTCTAAAGATATAGTCACTCTAGATGGCATTAACTTGGCCTCTAGCACCACTGTCAGGAATCTTGGAGTTATCTTTGATCAGGATTTGTCATTTAACTCCCACATAAAGCAGACCTCTAGGACTGCCTTCTTTCATTTACGTAATATTAGAAAAATTAGACACATACTATCACAGACAGATGCAGAAAAACTAATCCATGCATTTGTTACTTCAAGGCTGGATTACTGCAACTCTTTATTATCAGGTTGCCCCAATAAGTCCATTAAAACGCTCCAATTAATTCAGAACGCTGCAGCACGAGTACTGACAGGAACTAGAAAAAGAGATCACATCTCTCCTGTACTAGCTACTCTGCATTGGCTCCCTATAAAATGTAGAATTGAATTTAAAATCCTCCTCCTCACCTATAAAGCTCTTCATGGTCAGGCCCCTTCATATCTTAAAGAGCTCATAGTACCCTATTACCCCACTAGAACACTACGTTCTCTGAATGCTGGGCTACTTGTGGTTCCTATAGTCTCTAAAAGTAGAACAGGAGCCAGAGCCTTCAGTTACCAAGCTCCTCTCCTGTGGAACCAGCTTCCAGTTGTGGTTCGGGAGGCAGACACCCTCACCACATTCAAGAGTAGGCTTAAGACATTCCTCTTTGATAAAGCTTATAGTTAGGGCTGGATCAGGTGAGTCCTGAACCATCCCTTAGTTATGCTGCTATAGGCCTAGACTATCGGGGGATTTCCCATGGTGCACTGAGCTACTCTCTTCCTCTCTCTTTCTGCACTCATTCATGTCCCTTTAATGCATGTTACTAACTCCACTTCTTCCCCGGAGTTCTTGTGCTTTCTCGTCTCGCAGGTTCTCGTGGATCCTGGTGGAGCCTCCTGCCATGGTCCTGCTTGACTGCCATTGCCAATACTGTTGTTGCTGTGCGTCTGTCTGTCTGTCTGTCGCTCTCTCTCTCTCTCTCTCTCTCTCTCACCCCAACTGGTCGAGACAGACGACCACCCACCTAGAGCCGGAGGATCTGTCCTAGGTTTCTGCCTTTTAACAGGCAGTTTTTCCTTGCCCTTGTCGCCAAGTGCTTGCTCATGGTGGTACTGTTGGGTCTCTGTAATTAATGTTAAAGAGTTCGGTCTAGACCTGCTCTATTTGAAAAGTGTCCTGAGATAACTTCTGTTATGAATTGGCGCTATACAAATAAAATTGAATTGAATTGAATTGAATTGAATGCTGGGCTACTTGTGGTTCCTATAGTCTCTAAAAGTAGAACAGGAGCCAGAGCCTTCAGTTACCAAGCTCCTCTCCTGTGGAACCAGCTTCCAGTTGTGGTTCGGGAGGCAGACACCCTCACCACATTCAAGAGTAGGCTTAAGACATTCCTCTTTGATAAAGCTTATAGTTAGGGCTGGATCAGGTGAGTCCTGAACCATCCCTTAGTTATGCTGCTATAGGCCTAGACTATCGGGGGATTTCCCATGGTGCACTGAGCTACTCTCTTCCTCTCTCTTTCTGCACTCATTCATGTCCCTTTAATGCATGTTACTAACTCCACTTCTTCCCCGGAGTTCTTGTGCTTTCTCGTCTCGCAGGTTCTCATGGATCCTGGTGGAGCCTCCTGCCATGGTCCTGCTTGACTGCCATTGCCAATACTGTTGTTGCTGTGCACCTGTCTGTCTGTCTGTCGCTCTCTCTCTCTCTCTCACCCCAACTGGTCGAGACAGACGACCACCCACCTAGAGCCGGAGGATCTGTCCTAGGTTTCTGCCTTTTAACAGGCAGTTTTTCCTTGCCCGTGTCGCCAAGTGCTTGCTCATGGTGGTACTGTTGGGTCTCTGTAATTGTTTGAGTCGGCTTCTAGGGTTGTCTTCCACATTCCCATCGAGTTCTTGATGAAGGCCCTTAGGTTCCTGTTGACCTTATACAGTTCCAGACATTCCAGTATCCACGTGTGGGGCATTGAGTCGTAAGCTTTCTTGTAGTCGATCCAGGCGGTGCACAGGTTGGTCTTACAGTCTCGGGCGCCTGCTCTATCGGCCAGTAGCTGGTGCTTGGCTCCTCTGGTGTTGCTACCAATTCCCTTCTGAGCCCCGCTCATGTATTGAGCTACGTGCTTACTCATCTTAGCCGCGATGATACCTGACAGGGCCTTCCATGTTGTGGAGAGACAGGTTATTGGCCGGTAGTTGGATGGGATGGGTCCCTTCTTAGGGTCCTTCAGGATTAGGACCGTCCTGCCCTGGGTTAGTCACTCTGGGTGGGACCCATCCCTTAGCAGCTGGTTCATCTTTGCTGCTAGGCGTTCATGGAGTGCTGTTAGCTTCTTCAGCCAGTAGGCATGGATCTCTGAATGTGGGGGGTTACGGTGGCATCCCCCCGCTGACCTGTTGTCCATGCGCCCCCTTGCCGTAGCATCGTTGTTGTATCTCATCGATCTCTAGTTGTGATAGGAGTTTTCGATTGCGGATGTTGGAACACTGGGCTAACAGCTGTTTCGTTGTTAGCCTTGATTGTGGGTTTCAAAGTAACCAATGGTCCCACATTCGCTGCATGTATCCCTTCTCTCTGGGGTTGCTCATATAGTAGCATTCCAACAGTTCCGTGTTTTCCGCCCTTGTCCATCTATGTCTTGTTCCAGTAGCCCATTTCTCATCAGGTTGCCCTGGTTCCCTAGCACCTGACGCGGACCTTGTCGACCCGGGCGATGTCCGAGCAGGTGTGACTCTATCATTTGTCTGTACTCTCATGTTGCTGAGGTAGGCCTGATATATTAAGGATCTTGGCCAAGGATCCTCACTGGATGCAGTTGTATTTGCCCCTTACTGGCAGCAATTGTATCATATATGCTCCCTGACTGGGATTCGAACCCCGGTCTCCTGTGTGGTAGTCTCAAATACGTTTCAGAGCTTGGAGCAAGGGTTGAGTAACAACCCGATCAGATGATTGATCACATTTTCTTTTGCTATAGTGGCGTGCAACCAGCAGAATCACTGAAAACTCAAAAATGACAATATGGCCATCTGCTCTATTGCACATGAAATAATATATTGAATGTATACGATATGTCGTCCAGCCCTAGTTCCAGTGTGAAGCCCAGGGTGGGGCTGTCCCATCACTGGTGGGGGGCATTGTGTGTATTTCTGTCTTTCTTACTCTTTACTGTGAGGACTGCTGAGAGCTGCTGTCAGTTATCAAAAGATCGTTTCATACTTTCCATATTTATTCAATTCATGTTTTCTTTCCTCCAGCTGCTACTTCTGGGGACTCTGATTCTGTCAGACTCAAGGAAATAAGGATCGTGCTGCTCGGTCTGCCTGGAGGAGGGAAGAGTTCATTAGGAAACACCATCCTGGGATCAGATCAGTTTGAATCCGACTTTGGGTTTGAAGGAGACAACCCAAAGACTGTATCTAGATCAGTAGAGGTGGCAGGTCGCTGGGTCATGGTTGTGGACACTCCAGGATTCACTGATGAGGTTCTGTCTCCTGAACAGCTGTACAAAGAAATCATGAAGTCGATCGTAGAGGCCAGTCCAGGACCTCATGCCTTTGTCATTGTAGTGAAGATTGGCAAGTTGTCTAAAAAAGACTCGACCTTCGGATGCTGTCAGATCTGTTTGACAGTGATGCTCCGAAATACGCCATTGTTGTTTTTACTCATGGAGATGAGCTAGGAGGTCAGTCCATTAATGAGAAGATTGAGTCCAGTCCCTCTGGTCTCCATGTGTGGTGGTAGATACTGTGTGTTTGACAACAGAGGACGAAGAAGCAGACGACAAGTTCAGACCTTCATGAATATGATAGATGAGATGGTGACAGCTAATGGTGGACAGCACTTCACCTCTGACTTGTTTGCCATGGATCAGATGTTCACGAATGAAGCTGTGAGAACAGAGCCAGGTCAGGAACCAAGTAGAACACCGACAAATACAGCCTTTTGTGACGAGTAGATGGAATCCAGTTCGTAGTTTGTTCCCAGCATGCTGCTGCTGTTGTGCTAATGGATCAGAAGGTGAGACGTGGCAACTTTTGTCCAGTGATCAGGGTCAAAGTACCACGTATATAGACAATGACTCAGTGGTTGCTTCAGAGGCCTGAATATCCACAGGGAAATCACACTATCAGGAACATCATCAATTCAATTCAATTCAATTCAATTTTATTTGTATAGCGCCAATTCATAACAGAAGTTATCTCAGGACACTTTTCAAATAGAGCAGGTCTAGACCGAACTCTTTAACATTAATTACAGAGACCCAACAGTACCACCATGAGCAAGCACTTGGCGACAAGGGCAAGGAAAAACTGCCTGTTAAAAGGCAGAAACCTAGGACAGATCCTCCGGCTCTAGGTGGGTGGTCGTCTGTCTCGACCAGTTGGGGTGAGAGAGAGAGAGAGAGACAGACAGAGAGACAGACAGAGAGACAGACAGACAGCAACAACAGTATTGGCATCAATGAAGATGGAACAATGGACACAATGTCCACTGTGAACTGAACCTTTGTCCATTAATATAATTGATTTTATTGGTGTCGCACAACATCTCCCGTATAAGCAACCAAAGTTAATAATAATAATAATAATACATTTAATTTATAGGGGGCTTTTCAAGAAACTCAAAGACCCTTCACATGAGTTAAAAAGGAAAAGAAAAAGGTAATAAAAAACAACACACTAAAAAATTATAGCTATATCTACAACAGTCAACAAGATTTAATTGTTAAAATCATTAATAGCAGTTCTGAAGAAGGGGGTATTGATCAGTGATTTGTTGGATGGATCAGTACAGTTGGATGGATTAGTACAGGGGTAATGATCAGTGATCTGAAGTTGGATGGATCAGTACAGTCTCTGATGTGTTTGGGGAGAGAATTCCAGAGGGAGGGGGCAACTATGGGGAAGGCCCTGTCCAGGTACGATGCTTGGTCCTCAGTTGGGGAGACAGGAGGTTGGCATCAGAAGAGCGGAGGCTTCAGGAAGGAGTGTGGCGATTAAGAAAGCATTTTTATTAACAAAAGATTTTAGCTCAGATATTCTTCAATATCATTTGGAAAACAAAAAACAATCAATATTTTAACAGTATACTTTCTATAAATAGCGGACAAAAGACTGTTAACTTCCCAGTTTTACCTGGTATAGTTAATCCCATAATTGAACATTCATGGAATAGCAGAGCAAGGTATAAACACACTAATCATTCAACATTTACATTTAACCGTAGCATATTTCTGTACAGCTTTATAAATCACTCTCATCATTATGGCTCCACTTTTATTTTTCTTTCTATGGAGAAACACTCTCTGAGCGAAATGATGCTAGCAGCAGCTATGCTAACCTCTTTAGCAGCCACCATTGTTGTTCAACGAATGTTTCCTCACTGCATCTCACTTAGCACTCAGCCCTGTAGCTTCCAGTACTTCCTGGTTGGATATCACTGTAGTAGACAACCAAGGTCACCTGATTTCTAAAACATGTTTCCCAGCAAGTTTTATTGTGAAGTCTGTCCAGACTGTCCAACCTTTGCACTTTTTTATTTTGGAGACAAAATCTTTGATAATCAATTGATGCTAACTGTGTTGTTTGTCTTCAAGAATGAGACATGGTTTAATCCGCAGTGAACTTATGCTCAAACTTTTAATGTAAGCCCGAACATCATACATGTCGTGCAGCCCCTAGCTTGTCTTGTTCGCCGCTTCCTCAACACCAACATCCTCGATCTCTATTAAACTTGATGGTTCCCTCTGTTGGTCACATTGGGTATTACATTACATATCAACACATCCCCCTTTCTTTGAAGCTGTAAACAAAACATGTCCTAACATACATAAATGATAATGATAGTGAGTTAGAGGAACGGCACCGCACCACTGAGATATCTTTAGCCGCTATAGTTAGTCAGCCCCCGGTAGCCGGTGCGGTCCGACCGAAGGTAGCTTCTGTTAGCTCTGTAGATCCCCGGTAGTTCCCGAGCAGCCGGGAAGACAGGGAGGCTGGGTGACTGAGCGAAGGAAGGCTAGAACGGCGAAGCCCACAGGTCACCACCAACCGCTTCACGTTTCTAATACATTTTCCCCTCTCAGCGATACACCAGCTGAGGAACCAACTCTGGTTATTGGCAGCTCCATAGTCAGAAACGTGAAGTTAGCGAAGCCAGCGGCCATAGTTAAATGCATCCCTGGGGCCAGAGCGGGCGACATTGAATCAAATTTAAAACTGCTGGCTAAAGATAAACGTAAATACAGTAAGATTGTTATCCACGTCGGCGGTAACGACACCCGTTTACGCCAATCGGAGGTCACTAAGATTAATGTGGAGTCGGTGTGTAACTATGCTAAGACAATGTCGGACACCGTAGTTTTCTCTGGACCCCTCCCCAATGTGACCAGTGATGACATGTATAGCCGCATGTCGTCATTCCACCGCTGGCTGTCGAGGTGGTGTCCAGCAAACGATGTGGGCTTCATTGATAACTGGAAGCCTTTTTGGGGAAAACCTGGTCTGATTAGGAGAGACGGCATCCATCCCACTTTGGATGGAGCGGCTCTCTTATCTAGAAATATGGCGAAGTTTATTTCTAAAACCTGACAGTCCAGAGTTGGGACCAGGAAGCAGAGCTGCTGTCTTACACACTCCTCTGCGCTTTCTTTAGAACAGTCACCCACCCAAAACCCCATAGAGACTGTGTCTGTCCCCCGACCACCTAAACTATTTAAAGAAATAAAAACAAGAGGAGTTCAACATAAAAATCTAATAAAAATTAAAACCAACTCCTCAGTAGCACAAAATAAGAGAATGAAATGTGGGCTGTTAAATATCAGGTCTCTGTCCTCTAAAGCTGTTCTAGTGAATGAATTAATATCAGATTATGATATTGATTTACTTTGTCTTACTGAGACCTGGTTGTCCCACGAGGAGTATGTTAGCCTAAATGAATCCACCCCCCAGTCATATTAATACTCACATTCCTCGAGGCACAGGCCGAGGAGGTGGAGTAGCAGCTATATATGATTCGAGCGTTTTAATGGACCCTAAACCTAAACTAAATTATAATTCATTTGAAAGCCTTGTTCTTAGTCTTTCTCACCCAAACTGGAAAACACTGCAGCCAGTTCTATTTGTTATAGTGTACCGCGCTCCTGGACCATACTCTGATTTTATATCTGAATTTTCAGAGTTTCTATCAAGCTTAGTCCTTAAATCAGATAAAGTAATTATTGTAGGTGATTTTAATATTCATGTGGATGTTGACAATGACAGCCTTAGTAATGCATTTATATCATTAATAGACTCAATTGGCTTCTGTCAGAGTGTAAATAAACCAACTCATTGTTTTAATCACACTCTTGACCTTGTTTTATCATATGGCATTGATATTGAACATTTAATAGTCTTCCCACATAATCCTTTCCTATCTGACCATTATTTAGTAACTTTTGAATTCATACTATTAGATTATAAGCCATTAGGCAAAACTTCCTACAGCAGATGTTTATCTGACAGTGCTGTAGCTAAATTTAAGGAGGAGATTCCTTCAGTGTTTAATTCAATGCCATGTCTGAATTTAACAGAGTCCTATAACAACTTTAGTCCCTCTGAAATTGATAATCTTGTCGATAGTGCTACAGGCTCACTACGATCAACATTAGACTCTATCGCTCCTATAAAAGGAAATTATTAAAACATAGGAGACTAGCACCTTGGTATAACCACCAAACCCGCCAGTTAAAGCAAATAGCTAGGAAATCTGAAAGGAAATGGCGCTCTTCCAAATTATCAGAATATCGCTCAAATTGGCAAGATGATCTTAAGATTTATAGAAAGGCCCTCCGTAATGCCAGAGGAGCCTATTACTCAGCACTAATAGAAGAAAATAAGAACAACCCTAGGTTCCTCTTCAGCACTGTAGCCAGGCTGACAGAGAGTCACAGCTCTATCGAGCCACATATCCCCATAAACTTAAGTAGCAATGACTTCATGAGCTTCTTCTATAATAAAATTATTACTATTAGAGAAAAAATGAATCACCAACTGCCATCAACAGTTATCAGTGGCTCTCCAAGTTCAGGGACTTCTGTCAATGTAAACTTAGATGTATATTTAGACTGTTTTTCTGCTATCGATCTTCATCAGTTAACTTCAATCATTTCTTCATCGAAGCCATCAACCTGTCTGTTAGACCCGATCCCAACTAGGCTGCTTAAAGAAGTTGTTCCCTTAATTGGCACTTCTTTACTGGATATGATTAATCTTTCTTTATTATCAGGATATGTACCACAGTCCTTTAAAGTAGCTGTAATTAAACCCCTTCTTAAAAGTCTACTCTTGACCCAGGGGTTTTAGCCAACTATAGACCGATTTCTAACCTCCCGTTCCTCTCTAAGATTCTGGAGAAAGTAGTCGCCAAAGAGTTGTGTGACTTTCTACATAACAATAGTTTATTTGAGGATTTTCAGTCAGGATTTAGAGTTCATCATAGCACAGAGACAGCTCTGGTTAAAGTTAATAATGACCTTCTGACTGCTTCTGACAATGGACTTGTCTCTGTACTTGTATTATTAGATCTTAGTGCTGCATTTGACACCATTGACCATGATATTCTTTTACAGAGACTTGAGCATCAAATTGGCATTAAAGGAACTGCCCTAACCTGGTTTAAGTCATACTTATCAGATCGTACTCAGTTTGTACATGTTAACGATGAATCCTCCATAAATACTAAAGTTAGTCATGGAGTTCCACAAGGTTCTGTACTTGGACCAATACTATTTACTTTATATATGCTCCCTTTAGGCAACATTATTAGGAATCACTCCATTAACTTTCACTGTTATGCAGATGATACGCAGTTATATCTATCAATCAAACCCAATGAAATTAATCAATTATCTAAATTACAAACATGTCTTAAGGACATAAAATCCTGGATGACCTGCAATTTTCTGATGTTAAACTCAGAAAAAAACGAAATTCTTGTTCTTGGCCCCAAAAACCTTAGAGACTCATTGTCTAAAGATATAGTCACTCTAGATGGCATTAACTTGGCCTCTAGCACCACTGTCAGGAATCTTGGAGTTCTCTTTGATCAGGATTTGTCATTTAACTCCCACATAAAGCAGACCTCTAGGACTGCCTTCTTTCATTTACGTAATATTAGAAAAATTAGACACATACTATCACAGACAGATGCAGAAAAACTAATCCATGCATTTGTTACTTCAAGGCTGGATTACTGCAACTCTTTATTATCAGGTTGCCCCAATAAGTCCATTAAAACGCTCCAATTAATTCAGAACGCTGCAGCACGAGTACTGACAGGAACTAGAAAAAGAGATCACATCTCTCCTGTACTAGCTACTCTGCATTGGCTCCCTATAAAATGTAGAATTGAATTTAAAATACTCCTCCTCACCTATAAAGCTCTTCATGGTCAGGCCCCTTCATATCTTAAAGAGCTCATAGTACCCTATTACCCCACTAGAACACTACGTTCTCTGAATGCTGGGCTACTTGTGGTTCCTATAGTCTCTAAAAGTAGAACAGGAGCCAGAGCCTTCAGTTACCAAGCTCCTCTCCTGTGGAACCGGCTTCCAGTTGTGGTTCGGGAGGCAGACACCCTCACCACTTTCAAGAGTAGGCTTAAGACATTCCTCTTTGATAAAGCTTATAGTTAGGGCTGGATCAGGTGAGTCCTGAACCATCCCTTAGTTATGCTGCTATAGGCCTAGACTATCGGGGGATTTCCCATGGTGCACTGAGCTACTCTCTTCCTCTCTCTTTCTGCACTCATTCATGTCCCTTTAATGCATGTCACTAACTACACTTCTTCCCCCGGAGTTCTTGTGCTTTCTCGTCTCGCAGGTTCTCATGGATCCTGGTGGAGCCTCCTGCCATGGTCCTGCTTGACTGCCATTGCCAATACTGTTGTTGCTGTGCACCTGTCTGTCTGTCTGTCGCTCTCTCTCTCTCTCTCTCTCTCTCTCTCTCTCTCTCTCTCTCTCTCACCCCAACTGGTCGAGACAGACGACCACCCACCTAGAGCCGGAGGATCTGTCCTAGGTTTCTGCCTTTTTAACAGGCAGTTTTCCCTTGCCCTTGTCGCCAAGTGCTTGCTCATGGTGGTACTGTTGGGTCTCTGTAATTAATGTTAAAGAGTTCGGTCTAGACCTGCTCTATTTGAAAAGTGTCCTGAGATAACTTCTGTTATGAATTGGCGCTATACAAATAAAATTGAATTGAATTGAATTGAATAATGGCATCGTGAACACCAAAATTCACATCTTTTTTTTAAATTTTTCTCTTTCTGCCTTGTTAGACAATGCTTTTAAACACCAAAACTTCTTTTAAAACAAATTGACTTCAATACACAAAAAACAAAAAACACCACTTACTTTTTTTTTTTTTTTTTTAAACACACAACATGAAAACATCACATATTCAGTCCTTTGATTCACAAATCAAGCCTGACTGGTCTTTTGATCTGACGCTCAGATCTCCTCAAGACAGGTGACCCTGAGTGACAGTCACTTGTGCCCACATGCACACGTCCATCTGATTTCAGGTCTGGCACTGTTTCTGCATGTGACACTGAAGCAGTTCCATCTGCATCGTCACATTGTGTTTCTGTGAAAGTTTCTTTGGTTCTGAGAAGGTTGCGACGGTTCCTTCTGAGCACGTGACCTTCCTCAGTCCTTACTTCATATGACCTTGGTCCGACCTCCTGGAGAACAGTAGCTTTTCGATTCCATGCATCCTGGTCTTGGATATGCATATAAAATGATGCCAAATGGCATTCTCAGGAATCTGTACCTCCCAAAAGGCGTGTTGAATGTGCAGTATCTTGAGCTCTCATCATCCAACTTGATTTGCCAGAATCCCTGTGCCGCATCTAGCTTTGAGAAGTAGTTGGCACCAGCCATCTCACTTGCAATTTCCTCCCGTTTTGGTATCTGGTAGTGCTCACGTTTTATGTTTCGATTTAAATCTCCAGGGTCCATGCATATTCTCAGGTCTTTGTTTTTGTTCTTTTTGTCCACGCACACCATTGAGTTTACCCACTCAGTCGGTTCTTCCACTTTTGTGATGACCTCTAACTGGCACATTCTTTCCAGTTCCTTCTTAAGGCGGTCCCGAAGTGGAGCTGGAACTCTCCTTGGTGCATGGATCACTGGTGTGGCATCCTCTTTGAGTTTGATTTTGTATGTGTATGGAAGGCATCCTAGTCCTTTGAAAATGTCCTGAAAACAATGCATAATGGACTCAACTGTCCCTGTGTGCACACTTGCTGCTTCTGAGCAGTTGATGTGGTAGACTCTCCTCACCAGGTTCAATTTCTTTGAGGTGACCCCACCAAGCAGTGACTCCCGGCCCTTAGGTACAACAGAGAACAGTACGTTGTAGCTTTTGTTCTTTACTGTCACTTTCAGACTGCACTGACCTTCGCTTTCTGTCTTTTCCGTTGTAATCTTTCAGTGGCACTGTTTTCTTGATTATTTTAGGCTTTTCTTTCATGGCTTTAATTTCTGTCATGCTGATCAAGTTTGCTTGTGCGCCTGTGTCAATCCTTAGCGCTACTAAAGCTCCATTAATTGGCAAGGACACAATCCATGTATCTTCATTTTCTGAGTGCCTTTGACTTTCCTCTATGATATCATTTTTTGCACCTTCACATGACACCATGCCGACAAAGAAAGTCTCACTTAGGTCTGTTTCTTCAATTAGCCTCACTGACTTGGGCTTGTCCTTTGACAAACACTGTCTTGCAAAAAGATTTTTTCCATTGCAATTCGAACATTTTTTGCCATAGGCAGGGCACTGCCGGGGCTCATGTCTGCTACCACAACGTTTGCAGGAGAATGCTGCATCATCTTTGTTTTTCTTTTGTGGAGCATTCGTTTTTATCTTCTTATTCTTGACTACAGCTACTTTGGCACTATCATGTACAGCCATGGCACTTGCTTCATTAAATGTCTTTGCGTGCTGTTGGGCTAATTCACTTGCATGACACAGTCTCTCTGCTCTCTGATGCTAAGCTTCGTCAGCTTAGCATCTCTTAACAGCCTCTCTCTTATCCTCTTATCATGGATTGCATAAACAATTTGATCGCGGATCATAGAGTCTTTCAGATCTCCAAAATCACATGACTGCGCTTTTAGTTTCAAATCAGTCACAAAGCAATCAAAAGTTTTGTTGTGCTGTTGCATCCGTGACCGGAACACATACCTTTCATACACAATGTTTTTCTGTGGCGAGCAATATGCACGGAATTTTTCCAGTATGGTGTCGTACTTATCTTTGTCCTCATCTTCGGCGAACTCAAACGTATTAAAGACTTCAATGGCTTGGGGACCCGCTACTGTAAGTAGCAACGCAATCTTCCTGGCGTCAGGTTTAGTGTCCAGTCCTATGGCAGCCATATACAACTCGAACCGCTGCTTAAAAGACCGCCAGTTGCTGTCCACGTTACCCACCAGTTTCAGTCCCTCCAGCGGCTTCAGAGTATCCATTTCGAGTTAAACTGAAGCTTGACAGAAAACGGTTTACTCCTGGTACCATGTGTTGTTTGTGTCTTCAAGAATGAGACATGGTTTAATCCACAGTGAGCTTATGCTCAAACTTTTAATGTAAGCCCGAACATCATACATGTCATGCAGCCCCTAGCTTCTCTTGTTCTCCGCTTCCTCAACACCAACATCCTCGATCTCTATGAAACTCGATGGTTCCCTCTGTTGGTCACATTGGGTATTACATTCCATATCAACACACTAACTAACGTCGTAACTAGCTTCTTGTTGTGTCTCGTCAAGTTTGTTAAGTTTAGTCATGTTCATGTGTTTTCATAGTCTTTCCAGTTTTATTTTGTAGTCACCTTTTCCCTCACTGTTAAACCCTGACTTCCTCCCTTTGTGTGTTTTCCCGCCTTTGTAACTGTCTGCCCCACCCGATTGCTTTCACCTGTTTCCACTCTCACATGGTATAAATAGTCCTTGTCTCTCTTTTGTCTTTGTCAGTTCGTCTTGTTCTGTAAGTCAGTGAGTATTGTCAAGTGTTGTAATTCAGAGTCCAAGGACTCATTTCCGGTTCACTTCCTGCTCTGTGTACACTGTTTGGTGCTGTAGCTCTGTCAGTGAACGCTAAATATAAATTAGTTTTACTCGTTACAGCGGTTATTTACCCGCTTAACATTTAAACGTAGACTAGTTCTACCTAAACACTCGGAGTTTCTCCTTCTTTTAGCGACCTTTCACTACTTTCAAAGTTTTTTCATACACGCTAGTTTCATTAGCATTAGCAGTTAGCTATGGCTTCTCCCTCTCCCTCTCCTCTGTCCTGCTCAGTGTGTCAGATGTTCAGTTATTCCTCTGCCTCCTTTAATGATAATGGTACCTGTATTAAGTATAGTTTATTTACTGCGCTGGAGGCGAGGCTTAGTGAGTTAGAGGAACGGTACCGCACCACGGAGATATCTTTAGCCGCTATAGTTAGCCAGCCCCGGTAGCCGGTGCGGTCCGACCGAAGGTAGCTTCTGTTAGATCTGTAGTTCCCCCGGTAGTTCCCGAGCAGCCGGGAAGACAGGGAGGCTGGGTGACTGAGCGAAGGAAGACTAAAACGGCGAAGCCCACAGGTCACCACCAACCCATTCACGTTTCTAATACATTTTCCCCACTCTGCGACACCCGCTGAGGAACCAACTCTGGTTATTGGCAGCTCCATAGTCAGAAACGTGAAGTTAGCGAAGCCAGCGGCCATAGTTAAATGTATCCCTGGGGCCAGAGCGGGCGACATTGAATCAAATTTAAAACTGCTGGCTAAAGATAAACGTAAATACAGTAAGATTGTTATCCACGTTGGCGGTAATGACACCCGTTTACGCCAATCGGAGGTCACTAAGATTAATGTGGAGTCGGTGTGTAATTATGCTAAGACAATGTCGGACACCGTAGTTTTCTCTGGACCCCTGCCCAATGTGACCAGTGATGACATGTATAGCCGCATGTCGTCATTCCACCGCTGGCTGTCGAGGTGGTGTCCAGAAAACGATGTGGGCTTCATTGATAACTGGAAGCCTTTTTGGGGAAAACCTGGTCTGATTGGGAGAGACGGCATCCATCCCACTTTGGATGGAGCGGCTCTCTTATCTAGAAATATGGCGAAGTTTATTTCTAAAACCTGTCAGTCCAGAGTTAGGACCAGGAAGCAGAGCTGCTGTCTTACACAATTCTCTGCGCTTTCTTTAGAACAGTCACCCACCCAAAACCCCATAGAGACTGTGTCTGTCCCCCGACCACCTAAACTATTTAAAGAAATAAAAACAAGAGGAGTTAAACATAAAAATCTAATAAAAATTAAAACTAATTCCTCAGTAGCACAAAATAAGAGAATGAAATGTGGGCTGTTAAATATCAGGTCACTGTCCTCTAAAGCTGTTTTAGTGAATGAATTAATATCAGATTATGATATTGATTTACTTTGTCTTACTGAGACCTGGTTGTCCCACAAGGAGTATGTTAGCCTAAATGAATCCACCCCCCCCAGTCATATTAATACTCACATTCCTCGAGGCACAGGCCGAGGAGGTGGAGTGGCAGCCATATATTATTCGAGCGTTTTAATGGACCCTAGACCTAAACTCAATTATAATTCATTTGAAAGCCTTGTTCTTAGTCTTTCTCACCCAAACTGGAAAACACTGCAGCCAGTTCTATTTGTTATAGTGTACCATGCTCCTGGACTGTACTCTGATTTTATATCTGAATTCTCAGAGTTTCTATCAAGTTTAGTCCTTAAATCAGATAAAGTAATTATTGTAGGTGATTTTAATATTCATGTGGATGTTGACAATGACAGCCTTAGTAATGCATTTATATCATTAATAGACTCAATTGGCTTCTGTCAGAGTGTAAATAAACCAACTCATTGTTTTAATCACACTCTTGACCTTGTTTTATCATATGGCATTGATATTGAACATTTAAGTCTTCCCACATAATCCTTTCCTATCTGACCATTATTTAATAACTTTTGAATTCATACTATTAGATTATAAGCCATTAGGCAAAACTTCC